TTCTTATATTTCCACTTAGAGCATAAGGCTTCCATGAAACACTTTCACTTCAGTTTCTTAATCTTATACAATTGTTGGACTCCTTGGATGGGGGATCAGCCGGTAGCAAGGCTGCTACCTAGTGCAAACACAGAATAAACGCCAACAGACATCAATGCTTTGAGTGGGATTTGAACCCATGATCCCAGTGTTCAAGCAGGTGAAGGCATTTCATGCCTTAGACTGTGTGGCCACTGTGCTCAACCAACTCAGGCATTTTATCTGTTTCTTAAACTTGCCATTGAAAGAAAGGAAGCATTCTGAATGTTGATGTCACTCATTATGGTCTCTTGGATTGTGACATCACGTCATCTTATAGGTGTATCCTTTCAGAGGAACATGCTGCCACCATTGAGATAACCCTATCCTCACCAAGGACACAGCAGCTACTTCCTCCTGAGATCACTCACCTTTGCATGACCCTAAAAAGAACTTTTCTGGTTCCCTGTTTGCCAGTTATTCCTATTGATCAGACAAACTCTGTATCTTGGCCACCCTCCCATTCTACACTGTTATCACCATCCATGACATTCTGCCCATATAACTTACCACATTGGTAGCCTACTTCAACCACAAAGTTGGAGGCAGCACATTTTTCTGAAACATTACTATTCACTCACAAGATTACATGGTGTCATGCCCGCCATTGTGGAAGTCTCGTATCTCAGTATTGATGTCACAGTTTTGTCATCTTCCACTCGGGACATAATGAAAAGTTCAGATGCGTAGCCTAAAATGAAACTTTCACAGTATTGTAATAAGTTTAAGTGGGTGTGGGATATGTGGTTCAGCGTTGTTCATTTTCATGAGATAGGAATTTTGCTCTTCACCACTACATCCAGACTGGCTCTGGTGTCCCTTTATTTTGCTGTTAATGGGCACTGGAATCATAAGGCCCAAGAGCAGAACTGGCTACTCACCTACATCTAGTACCATGGTTAAGAAAAATACTTGGAGCTTTACCTCTGTTCCCACACGTTTTCATCATATGGTGCATAGACACATATATTTACTTATGGACTGTTTAGAAACCAGCCTACTGTACTTCATGTGGGGAGCTGGGATAGCCCAGTCAGTATAGCGACTAGCTATGGGATGGACGATTGAGGGATCGGAGTTCAAGTTCTGGTAGGGTAAAAAATTTTCTGTTCTCCATGCCGGCCAGACTGGGCTCTGGGGTTCACCCAACCTCCTATCCAATGGGTACCAGGGGCTCTTTCTCCAAGGCTAAAGCGGCCGGGACGTGAAGCTGACCACTCACCTCCAGCTAGTGCTGAGGTCAAAAAAAATGTGTATCTATACATCCACTCCCACTTATGCCTTTATGGTACGTTTTACTGTAGTTTATGTTTTGCTTATATCTGTGCTACTTGTGCTTCAGTATGGTGTCCTGTCACTGTTCTTCTGTGGTCAGAAAGCATTTTAGAAATTACCGTTTAACCCTTTAAAGACTGAATTCCTTCAAAATCATATATAAGAATTTAGTTTTTACCTCACAGGAAACACATTACATCTCCACTACAAAGACCATTGCTGTTTATGTAAATATTTGATGTTTACTGTGAGAACCAATTGAAACACACAAAGACACTCTGTGAGCAGAATGAACAGATTTATTATGTTAAAGAAAGTGGTATATATAGTGTCCACTGAGTTTTAAAGTGTTACCTAACAGAACAGTTCAGAACCAATCAATGCCCATGGAACATGAGCCTGAGTCAGTCATGAATATGGACTCCAATCATATATATATATATATGCGTGTGTGTGTGTAACTGTTCTGTAAGTTCCATGCAATGGACCTAATAGGAGACATCAGACAATATGACATTTACCCTTTTATTCTTGCCATTCTCTGTGGCGGCCATTTGCCTGTTTTGTGGTAGAGTTCTTAGATTGACCCAGATCCTCATTCCCAGTCTGTTTTTAATCACTTGGGTAAACTTTAAGTTCCTAATTTAAGTGTTACATATTATTCATATAGACTTAGCTGTGTCATATTTTGAGATTGACAAGGAAAGCAACCATATCTGGGTAACAAAGGGGCGCTTATGCTTGTCTGAAATGATGAACTTTGAAAGAAGTCATGTGGGGAAGTGAAGGTAAGCAGTTAGCTGCTTTTCCTGGCTGCTTGTACCTCCGAGAAAAGATACCCTAGGATAGGTGCATTTCCTTGAGCTGTTCTTGACATTGTTGTTGGCTCTGTCTTGATGCACCTTAACACCTTACGCATCATCAGGTCATAAAAACATAACCCAATTTCAAAAGTGCTTAATGTGATGCATTCTATGTTACATAACATTGTATAAGGTTTGTTATAATTGTTCAGGAATAATTTTAGTTGTATTGAATGGTTTTATTTTAGTTACCAGTAACTGATTTTGTCTGTGAACAGTGGTTTGATATTAATTAAACTGATAGTCAGCACAACAGAAATTATCAGGAGTTACATACAACTTTCAAAGATACATGTGCATGTACATTATAAGAATTTGTAAGTTGTTTGGGTGAGGGGTGGTCATCTGTAGTAATGATTTTCCAGAGAATTGCTTGTGTTCTCAGATATCACACACATACCATAAACCGAGGGGACATTATGTCACATTAAAATTTTTTTTTTGCCCTCATCTTCAACAACCAAAAAGTAATTAATTGTTTACAATATTATATTTAAGCATCCTGTTGCATTCTACACGATAAATGATACAAATTCCATCCTAAGTGCAAACAATATATATTTATATGTCTTTGATCTTGTTCTTTCTACACTACATGTTTCGGCCTCTATCGGCCATCATCAGGTGTATACTCTTAACGTTGCTGCCACACTGAACCCAGTCTAAAACTTAACATTTAAAAACACAATGTCACGTTCTTCGTATTATCAACATCTACATTGTTGATATGTGTCTGGCATGTAGATTATGTTGCACACGTCAAACCCGATATTCTTGTAGTAGCACTCTAAAAATCTTTAGTTATGATGTTTTTAAAATCTTTTAAAATTTTCTCTAAATTTTAAATTTAAAATTCTTAGGGTTACTCGCCCTATGTCTAAGTGCTGGAGCGGCTAGTTCTTGTTTTCACACTGTACAGGTGTTATTTAATGTAGTCTTCTTGTGTGAATGCCGCTGCTTGTCTGTACTACGTGTGCTGTCTGCTGTATTGTGTGCACATCGAGTTTAAAGATGGCAAAGAGTCACTTCATATGTTGGGGTGATTTTGGACTGTACTCATATACATTTTTCTCAATGAAAAAGCTGCAGTAAATGTTACTGTACAATGTAATCCAAAAGGACTGATGACTTTGTGATACAAAGGTAGCAAATGGACAAATTGTGAGGTTTCACTTAATATTTGCTTAGATTTTACATAGAGAAGAGTGTATATATTAAGCATGTGACTAATTCTCAACATCCCCCCCCAAGTTCTGGAACATTGTATAAAACCTTCATGAGTTCTCAATAATCTGGTGGGGTTTTGTCCTTGGTAGATCTTTCACTGGTGCTCATAGTCACTGACATCACATTAAAGTTGGCATTACTTTCATCAACTGCAGATGATTCTTCCTGGGAACAACTCACAAAAGAATGGCACAGTCCAGCTTTTACCTAGTATAAATCTGAAATAGGTGAAGCCAACTCAGCACTAGAGTTCTAATGTAGATTCAAAACTCTCGAATTATGGAAGACAGTTGTCACTTCCTTGATACAGAATGCTTACTTTGTCATCTGTACTACCTTCAAGTTCATTGACTTCTCTTTCCCTGGATTCTGTGGTGCTGAGGCCCTTGGAATGTCCCCAAGGCACTTTTCCTGTATCAGAAGCTGGCTTGAGTGTCAGTGAGGCTTGTATGAAGTTCTTTGCTGCAGTAATTTCATATTTTATGTGATCCTTGTGATTATTCTCAGTTCCTTTGTCATCAACTAGATTGTTGTTATTGGAGTTCCATATATTTTATGCTGGAACTTTGCCAAGTTCAGTCTCCAGATAAGCGGAGAATTGATGAGAACATCGCCAACCGCAGCTGGTGACCATGTGGTATCCTGGGCATATCTGTGTCTTAATATAGCACAGTGATGACTGATGAATAAGTTTGCCATTCTAGTATCAAGAACATTTCTTTTGAAACAATTCATATCATGACCTGTATGATCAGAATACATGCGAGAATGGGACAAAAGGCTCCCACTGATTGCCTTTTTTCTTTATTTCTTTCTTTCTTTTCTTTTCTTTTCTTTTCTTTTCTTTTCTTTTTTTTGCATTCTCAGTGAAAGTAGTATAACAGTAATCAGGTTATATTATTTTTGGACAAGTATTCAGCTCACACTGTGTTGTATTCATTTTCTCCCATTTCAATGTTTAGATTGGTTCCAGTGACTTAGGTGAAAGTGTAGAGGTCTTCAAACATGACAGTTCGAATGATTTTCTTAAACTGATATTACAGAAAATGAGTGCATAAGAGAGATACTTCTGCAGTTACTGTGTTTCTGGACATTACCGATTGCCCTTTTTATATTTAAAACACAACGTTTTGGAGACTGGATTCTATATCCACACTACCTCTGTTGATTGTGTCCAACTGAACAGGTTTCACTTGAAAGCGAAGACAAAATCCAGGATCCGAAACATTGTGTTTTAAATAACAACAGGAGAATGGATGACATCCAGAAACACAGCAGTTGTATTAATATACCATCTTGAAAAACTTCTAGAGATATATCTCTTGCTTCAGTAGGGGGCATTTTGAATCAGGTACATAATACAGAAATTGAACCATATGTAGATAATAAATCCACTGGCATTAAAGACCCATATTTCAAAATGTGTAAGTGGCACACATTCACCCAGCAGGCACAAAGTCACTTCAGTATATGGTGTCTCATGTATGTATATATGTATGAATGTATGTATGTGCATACTCATATAACAACAACAATAACAATAATTTCTTGTTTCAGTTATAGATGCAGTTCCAACACCTAAGCTGCCAATAATAGAGACACCCATCAAAAAAATTGAAGAGGTAAAATTACTGTTTTATATTCTGAAAGTTAGGGCCACAACATAACCTCACAGTTAAATTTAGAGTTTAGAAGCCAGGTGCATTAGTCATTTTGGAAACACAGTAGTTTATATACATATACATACAGTAGTTGTAAAAAAGACAGTATTAGTGCCTTTTATTTAACAGTGCCTGATATACAGCAAGAACACATTTTTTTTAGAGGCATTAATTTAAAAGTACAGCATTAGAAGGGTCAGAGAATTCTGTTCTGCCATTCACCAAAATGCAGTAACACCGACTTCACCTACCTTGAGCACATTATGTGCAGATGTTGATAACATCGTGTTTGTTTGTACAGAATTACAAACATGAGCCATTTGGGCAGGATGTAGCAAATTGAACATAATTTGGCATAATGACAGGCCAGTCTGATAACATTAGGGAGGCAAGATGAGCAACCAGGTAACAGGATTGTAACTGCACTTATTAATTGTTTTACAAATTCAAGAAGTTTTTCTTTGCCAAGTTATATTGTATGTGAGATCAGATTTATAATCACAGATGATCCAGAAACAAAGTATTAATCTCACTGATATATCTCAGGCAGTACGAAGAAAAGTGAGCTGAAGATTACATTATGTACAGTCATAGCCCAAGCTGTTCATAGTGTAAATAAATATGGATTAGGCTAGAGTTTTGTACTGCTTTTATTTGTTACCTATAAGGCAAAACTCTTGTGCTGGGTGTAACTTCTATCCTGTTTCCATCTCTGAAACTCCCTAATCTCAGTGAAATGATATTTGCACTACCAAGTTAGGACAAATCGTGTTAGGTTAGCCATGCCAGCTACCACTGCAGGATGTTTGCCCAACTAGCAAAGCTGTTGTCTGGAGAGGCAGCAGAGGTTATTGTAGTTTATTATAGTTTAATACAGCTGGAATATGATATGCAATTTAGTGGCTAGGTACCACCATGTCAGAGGAACCTACTGACTCCATCTTCAAGTAGAAGATCAAGGCAGCAGGTTCCTCCTAAACATTGGTACTTGATCTACCAAACTAGATATCGCATCCCAGAAGAGCATAATCTTCATATTCATTACCATGAGAACATCTAGTTACACATTATCTATTTTTTTCTCAAAAACAAATGTCAACCAAAGACTCAGATATTCAAGATTTAGAGTGTTAACAAGCTGGGGTAATTTGTGCTTCTAGCACATTAATTAAAAAAGATCAAATCTGTAGCCAGGTCAGTTGATTGTGAGTCATGACAAAGTACAATCTCACACAGCACTTTCATAAAACAGTTTTTGATACTCATGCTGGAACATTTACAGCTGTTTTCAAGGCAGACAGGCCATGTACTGATGATGGTTCATTTAGAGCTGATGTACACATGCATTTAATAATAAAGAGTGCATTGTGAAGTGCTGAAAGGTCCACATGTCACATGATTTGACCTTGTCTGATTTTGTGTTCCCAGAAGTGATAATCCCCATGAAATTATCTCATTTTGTGTTACCTGAAGATATTCAAAGCGAAATAATAACAGTATTCAGTAATACTGAAAGACATTTGGAATATGCTGTAATGTTCCAGAAATGGCAGATATTGGAATGTATTTATGAAGTCAGAAGGCAAATAGTGCTTTGTAGATAATCGCATGCATGAAAGTTTACTGATCCAGTAAGCTGGACAACATTTTATGCTCTTGTGAAACAGTCTGGCAAAGTTTTGCTTGTTTTTATGAAATTGTCATCATATTTTAGTGGGCCCTTAATTTTTGTTTTAAGAGATAATTAAAACATGTGGCATGCATAAATGGCTGGGTGACTTGAACAAAGAGACCACTTGGGGGACCTAGATATAGGTAAAAGGGATGACATTAAAATGTATATTAAAGAAATATAATGAAGAGCTATGAACTTCATTGAAATGACACAAAGTGTAATGTATTGGTGCAATTTTATCATGATGGTAATGAAATTCCAGGTTCCATAACTGTGAATTTCTTTTATCAGCTGAATATCAGCTGTTTAGCCTCTATATGAACATGGTTGGTTACCTGGCTTCTTTGTATTCAGTCAGGAACTTGGTGAATTGGGAGCCAGGATAGCGTAGTTGGTATAACGACTGGCTGGGGGTCGGAGTTTGAGTCATGGTAGGGTGAAGAATTTTCTCTTCTTCATGTCGTCCAGACCAGCTCTGGGGCCCACCCAGTCCCCTATCCAGTGGGTACCAGGGACTCTTTCCTTGGGGTAAAGAGGCTGGGGCAAGAAGATGACCACTCACGTCATGCTAGTGTTGAAGTCAAGAAAATGTGGATCTCTACATCCACTTCCCCATACACCTTCATGGCATAGTGCTGAATTAGTTAAGTACAGGGACAACTTTACCCTTTGTTTTACTTGGTGAATTGGTGAGTCAGTTATTAATTCAGGTCTGTGATATGTGAGATGTCTTGATAGTGGTCATTTTTGTTCTCTCATAAATCTGAATATGGGTTTCAGGAACCAGGTCTTTGCCAGAATTGAAAAGATGCAACCCAAACCATGTTGCATGCAGTTCCCTCATATATTCTCTTTACTCATTTGCATCCTCAGTGCTTCCAGTTGTTCAAGATAATATTATTCCTCATTGATCCTCACATTCATTTTGTGCAATTCTTTGGTTTCTTCTTGATGTCATAATCAAACTGGATACATGTCATATATATAGAACTATCAGGTTTCCTAAAAGAATTTGCATTGGACTATATGTACATTTGCCAGCGGCCATACCATGTTGAATACAGAGGTTCTCATCCGATAACCGAAGTTAAACAACATTGGGCGTGGTTTGTACATGGATGGGGGACCGCTTGGAAACACCATGTGCTGTTGGCATTTCTCCATTTAGCCGGTCACGGTAGCCAAGCGGTCTAAGGCATGCACTGTCTTCGCTCTCTCGGAAGCCGGGTGGGTTCGAATCCCACTCAGGGCATGGATGTTTGTGTGCGTTTTTCTGTGTTTGTCTACAGGTAGAGGCCTTGCAACGAGCTGATATCACTCGCCCAAGGAGTCCTACCGAATGTGTAAGATCTAGTAAACCGAAGTGAAATGGAGAGTTTCATGGAGGTAGGCCTAGGCCCAAATTGGGGCTGTAGCGCCACAGAAAAAAAATACGTACATTTCATAAACTTTGAAAATGTATTACTATGGTCACTGTTGGTTACTATGCTCACCTCACTTCAGAAGTGGGTCTTGTGTCATCCCACTCACAGGTTCATGCGTACTTCACATTATCATCACATTTAATCAGAATCCATCCAGGAGATGTCAACTTGAAACATACAGATTAAGTAACAGCTAGACACACAAACACAGGAAAAGAATGTGTAGAAACTAATGCCGATACATTGAATAGTTCTGCACGTACTGGTGACTGAAAAAAGAGGAAAAGTGCAGTCAGAATATAGTAGATATTGGTGAACTTTGCTACAAGCCGGAAAATCACGGGTTCAAGTCCTGATGAGGTGGATTTTTTCAATTGATCTAAACCTTCCAGCCGCACTATGGCCCTGAGGTCAACTCGGTCTCTCACAGAAATGAGTACCTGGAATCTTCCTGGGGCTAAAGGGCGGCCAGTGCAAGTCTGACAACCTCACCACTATCTGTGAGCTGATTGTCTAGAAAATGTGGGAGCCTCAACATCTTACAACCCTGTGGGCCTTCATGACCTGTTACAGGGATAGCTATACTTTCTTTTACATGTACGGTGGACTTTTTCTCTTAGTTTGCCAGAATAATTGTGTTAAGTTTAAATGTTTGTATACTGTATACCGAACTAAAGTACTTCCAACAAAGTTCAGATCTCTGTGTAAAGGTGAATGATTTGTTACTGTACAGATACAATGAAAAGGGAGGCATTCTTGTTATGGGCATAGAAGTATCTAAACACTTGATCAGCATTCAGATATGTGATATTAGTAATTAGGTCTCATTGTAGTGTTTGAGTAGAAAATGAGATGGATTAAGTACAAACATCTCAGCATTTTGTTTTTAAATCCATCCATTCCCCAGTACAGTTAATATTCTTTTTGTATGTTACATATAGCCACACGTAGAATCTGTGCCTCCATCAACGCCAGTCGAAGGAGGTGACAACACGGGGCGTGTGGTTCCACCGCCAGACGAAGATAACGGAGATAAAACTGAGGGTAACGACGTGTACATCATGAACACAAAAACAGAAGAAAGGGCCACATCATTCTTTGCACAGCCAGGAATACTTGCAGGTATAACGCAGATCCACTGCATTCTAATCAGACCATGACTTGCATGCAGCCCACAGTATATGGAACTTCTGTGACCTTGACATCATAACTGTAGAAGTGGTGGGCTCTTGTGAGGATGCTAATGAGCCTTCAGGTTCCATAAAGGATGGAACATTTCTTTACTGCTTCAGTTACTTTGAGCATCTGAAGAACAGTTTTACTGCATCTTGTTATCTAATTAGTCGGTCAGTGACTCATTTGGGAGAACTCACTTAAGAGCTTCTGTCTTAAAAAATACAACCCAGAATACTGAATTTACAGAAAAAGTGATTGTTGCTATTTCTGGACTGTGGTATCTGTCCTGAAGTTACATTTGTTTTAGGTTTTAGGATATTCCTTAGAACAGTTAGTCAGTTGACAAAAGCCCAACAATTTTACTTTCAAAAGAGTCATTATTATGTGTCAAAGTCAATAGACGCTACTTTGAGCTTCAGAATCTTGATTTTGAAACAAAAATAGGGTTACTCAGTTGACAGAAAATTAACAATTGAAACTTTAGAATGGTTTTATCCTTTGAGGTGTGCTAGTTGCGTGAATCTGCTCAAAACCGTATGTTTTTACTTTAGTTCTTGGATGTGAATCTGCCTAGGAAACACGGAAAATTGAGAGGCAGAAGATTTCAGATGCATATGCTGTAATGGGATCACAAACTTAACTAGCCTCTGCTGTAATGGTAATTGCGTGAGAGGGGATGACTGATAGCACTGCGTGTGGCAGCTGGGAGAACTACTTGGCGGGTTAACATAGCACATTTCTTTGTATTTTTAGGACCTTAACAAATATGCATTGCAGATTTGTTTTCTTAGTAACCTTAACAAAATGGCAGATTTTCTTTAGAATTTTTCTAGGTTGTGTGAGAATTTCAGATGCTTGGATACAATATTTTCACGTGTATGGGTGACTAAAGACAGGGTTTGGACTGATAATTGGATTTATTGCCCACATACGGGTCATAACTACAGTTAATTATAATGCTGTTCCTGATTTTCACACTACAAAGCAGTCCACGGTACTCTCTTCAGTCTATCCTAGTCTTCACAGATTTATAACACAGGAACTGTAAAGGTCAAGACGTTAAATGCTCACAGGCTGACTTCTTGTACACTTCTGTACTCCTCGAGCTTACTGCTGCCCTCTTGTTTTTGTGCTTCTGCCATTACCACTCACTCGTAACTTCCCTGAACGTCAAGTCAAAGTCACATTGTGACTGACAGTCAGTGAGTCTTGGTGTCAAGCCCCATCTTGGACTCATGACTATATATTTATTACTGTTTGACAGTTGTGGTCTTGTTTCTTGTGGGGCGCACTCTCTGACAAGAAGACGTGTCTGTCTTTTGTATATGCTGCTGGCCCTTGCCAGCACAGTCTTTCTTGGGTCCAAGTCCCTTGGTACTCGGTGACCATATTTTACTTTCTCAGATTTCAGACTTTGCTTTTCGTCGCCTCCAATGACTCACAGGGTCACGGTTACACTCTGCCCTGAACAAATTCTGTCCCTTATTTATATAGCTGTGGAACAGACATTGACCTACAGTAAACACATATCACGTGATCACTATCCAGCCGGTCTATTGGCATGTCAGTTGGGTCTCAAGAAAACACAGCATACTCTGTTGTTGCATGTTGGACCGTGTTTACAGAACTGTTGCCTGGCAATGCGTTGTTCATTTCTCCCTCATTTTCTCATTTCTGTGACTGTGCTTCTTTTATCGTCTTCCTGCAAGTTGTTTTCTTTTTCATGGTGTTCGTTCTCTGAGTGCTCCCACTGCTCCCTTGTTAATGCCACTTGTCCCGAGTGATTCCCATGTAAGATTCCAGTTAGTCAGGTTACCATCATCATCATCCAAAGATTTTCTTCTCTCTCTCATGGCCGGTGCTCTTATTCCATGTGCAGCCTTTTCCTGCTTCAGAGGGGGCTGACCCCTCCACAAGGTCCACTCCTTCATTTTCTGCAGCTTGCTGGACTTCCCGGTTGCTCACTTCACAAACTTCAGTCCTAAAACCTTCCTGTTGAGCTCCTCCGATGCGCTCTCGATCTTAGGTTGTAGCTACCGTCTCGTACCTGGGATCTTTATTCCAATTTTGCATTCCAGGTCCTTCCAGTGTATCTTCATGGAGGTTTGTCCCTTCAGAGTTCTCGGTGCTACATCGTCTTTGTTTTGTCCCTTAGCCTGTGTTTGTTACAGTGTGTCACTTTTGTACTGTGGGTCATCCTTCTGCCAGCTGTGGCCAATTATTTCCGTCGTTCACCATTTCCCTGTGTCAGAATTTTCCTGAAGACATTTCTTTTGTGTCATGCCCCCGCTGCATGATGGGACACCTTTCTGCAGGCGGCAGCCAACTTTCTTTGGGATCCACAGTCTCCTTGGGTCAGTTCCTTTGGCTCTCCATGTCACCCTACAGCTAGATGTCAGCCCCTGTGCTGCTGCTTCATTGTTCCCAAAGATTTAACTGCGGCCTCTTCCGTATGGACCTCACAATGTTCCACTCTGGATTTAGCTACTTACTCTCCAGGCACCCCTCCATCATTACCTGGCAGGACATTTTCTCTTTTTGATCATTCCTCATGTTTGCTATCCAGGCATTAACTATGGATCTCATTTCTTCTTGGCCAGATTTTATTTCTTCTCTCATTTCCTTTAGATCATCTGTTGGCTTTTCGTTCAGCCTACCATTCTTCTCGATCAGTTTCCCTATTGGCCTCTGCCTTTACCTGCATGGTTTTCATGCCCTGTTTGATTTTGTCTTTCATTTTCTACATCATTTCTTTCATGTTTTCATGTTGGTGTTCATTTCAGCCAGCATGGCTTTCATGAATTCCATGTGTTCCATTTTTGTTGGATGGCACTGTAAAATAGATCTTTGTTCCACTAATTGAACACTCTGATCCAATCAGTACAACTTCTAACACCAGTTGTCATGTGTCACAGTGATTAAAGACAGGGTTCAGATTGGTAATTGGATTTATTGACCACCTACAGGTCATAACTGCAATTATAAGACTCTTCCAGATTTTCATACTGCAAAGCACTTCACACTACCTTCTTCAGTTTATCTCCACTAGTCTTCACGTATTTATAACACAGGAATTATAAAAAGAATAACTTGATGACTAGTGTGTAATGTGTTTCAACTTAATTTCAAGTAAGTAATGGTAGGCTGAACGAAAAGCCAACAGATGATCTAAAGGAAATGAGAGAAGAAATAAAATCTGGCCAAGAAGAAATGAGATCCATAGTTAATGCCTGGATAGCAAACATGAGGAATGATCAAAAAGAGAAAATGTCCTGCCAGGTAATGATGGAGGGGTGCCTGGAGAGTAAGTAGCTAAAGTAGAAACCAGTTGAACCTTTTACTTGACTTGAATAACAAGCTGAGAAATGAGAACTGCTACTTGACTCTTCATATAAATTAACAGATGGAAAGCGGTTTTCTTTTCAGGTGTTAACTGAGAAGCGGACCGAAAGGTTACAGTTTTGGTGATCATGGGGGAATTACAAGGGTTAAAGCCTCTCCTATTTCTGCAGTAATTTGTATTGATTCTTCCAGCTATTACATTAAACACTCATTAATGTTTACTTTTGAATTACAGTTTCTCCTAGTTGTCCTGGTGCTAGTTGCAGAATAACATGTTTTGGCTTTAAAACAGTAATATATATTTATTATGAATGTTATTTATTGTTATTCATGATTTGGATTGGCACAGAAATCCCTTCTGATTTATGTTCTGATCCTGCAACTATATTGCAGATACATGTAGTACATCTCAATGGAAATTATAGTTTCAGTATAGTACATTTTGAAATGGAGTACTAAAATCTGCTATATTCGTTTAAAGTCATGTTGTTATTTAAGTTAATATTTAATCTCTCAGGTCCTTTGAACACTGTACATTAACTCTGATTTCTGTTTATGAGTTTCCCAAACATCCCTTGTTCAGTTTAGAAGAACAGGAATTGAATAAGAATTTAAAATATATGTTTTGTGCTACAGCACAGCTGTTTCCACCCACTAAGATTGTGGGGCATGTATGTAAGATGTGTAGTGAGCTGAGAAGAAGTAATTTTTGTAAGGCTTCATTGGGAGAACAGTTCTCAGACAAATGCTGGCTTATCACTATATACAGAGTGGTATATTATCTGTCCTTCGTATCATCTGCCTCTATCATAACTGCCCAGAGGTCAGTGCTTTTGACAGCCTGCCTTTTTATATAATTTTTAATGCCACATGATACTTCTTAAAGACATGGCAAACAAGAAAAATGGTTGTTGCAGTATTCAGTATCCTAGAGGTTTGGTGTGTGTGCTGTTGTCCGTGTGTGCGTGTGTTTAATATTTGTTGTTTGTATGTGAACTTCACTGCTATTTGACATGTTTATGTGAATTCTTGTTGCAGCGGTGATTGGTGGTGCAGTGGTTGGTCTGCTGTGTGCCATCTTGGTAGTCATGTTCATTGTATATCGGATGCGCAAGAAGGATGAAGGCTCATACGCTCTGGATGAACCAAAACGATCTCCAACCGTCAATTCGTACACAAAAAATTCAAATCGTGAATTCTTCGCTTGAAGAGGGCAGGAGAAATGAAGCAATTCTTGAACTAGAATAAGAAAGCAAAATGAATCGAAGTTTTCTTCGAATGAAAGCCACAAATGTTGCAACAACCGCAAATTGAAAGGAAGCAATGATAGGTGAGGGAAATGGTGTAGCATGTTTGCTCGAAGGTAAAGGAATCAATGGCAGGACGAATTATAAACATGATTTTTTATTTAAATCAATTTTATATTAATGGAAAGGACCTATAACTCGGTAATAAGATGGCATGTTGCAACCTGATCTCGGAGTAGATCAGTTTCCGTAGAAACTTGAACAGCTTTGTTTTTAAATGAAAAAATACAAAATTGTAAAATCAATAAAGTGATCTTGGAGGCAAACTTAATATTCGGCATGTTTTAAGGATTGAAGGATTTAGTACTGCAGTGAATTTTATTTATGAAACACAGTGGCAGAAGACACATATTGGTTGTTTATATCTGAAGTGGAGGTGGTGAGACTTTGGACTGTGAGTTCCACAGCTGTAACTGTTTCCAGTTATCTCCGGACACAGCCTTAATCTCGGTAATGATCTGCATTATCACTTGAAGGAACTGGTTACTATTTCACCATTGTAAGAAATTCTTTTCCACATTGAAACAGTGTAGCAGTAACACAAAGGCATCACATAGCATCTAAACATTGTTACTGTCTCTAACACATAGTTTTGTTATTTTGAATGTGTTAATATTATTTGTATGCTCTTCTCTCTGAATTTTGTTTCATCATTGCTTTCATATATGCTGGAACAATTTTTCTGACAGTTCAAGGTCAGTGTATCTTGATCAGTTAAAATATCTGGCTCAATAATGACTTCATTTGTTCTTAAACAGTAGGTAGTGTGAAGGGAACAGAATAACCATACAACTTGTTCCCTGAAAGTGTGATGAGATCACAATTGCCTGGTATTTTGAGAGATCATTCCAAGCAAAACAGAAACACTGGAGCAGTTTAGACCAAGTGGGGTCGATATAAATTATATTTAAAGGTGCACAGAGCTTTTATACCAAGGAACACCTTCCTCTACCATGATAAGAGTTTTTGGAGGAGAAAAATTGCATTTTCTTTGTTATTGTTATGCCAAGTAAAATTTTTCTCCTCTGATAAGGAAGGTCTTAGCATAAGTGATGTATGTTGATTGTGTTTACATAAGTATGATTTTTGGTGTTCTTAAAAAATATATGTTGGTATACTAAGTTCTGACATGGGTTACAAACAAAAGTGAAAATTCTGTAAATTGGTTGCACCAGTGTTCTCATAAGTTTTGATGGTTGGTTGAATGTTTATGATTCCAGCCACTGGTATGTTACATTTAACCAATGGATCAAATGCTTTTATCATTACTCTCTTCAGAGATGAAAGGCTGCAAGATGAAAAGTTGTATGGAGCAAATAATACCGTGTCAGCTGTCAGGGAGGAGTCCTGTGTGTTTCTAATGTTACGTGGTGTTTTATAAGCATTTCTCTATTGGCATAATATGAGAATATTAGAAATTATCTAGGTGTGTAATTATGGAATATTATTAACCAGCATCACTGACAAACATCAGGGATAAGATGATGGTATAAGTTTGAAGTTAAATGTGGCCATATAATATATTGTCAGTACAATGCAGGATGAGTGGCTGTTTTTAATAACCCTAAAAACACACATGTAAGGTGTGTGGCTTCTCTTTTTCGTTCTCTCTTTTCTTCCATTACAGGTGCAGTAAGTATGAATGGTTCAAATGTAAGATTGTTCTTAGGTTTTTAAGTTTGCTTTATACCATGTGACTGTTGATGAAACATCAGCAGGAAGATAAAGTAAAACGGTTTTGTCCATGTAATGTTTAAATTCTTGCAGTAGTGACTGCAGGAACAGCTCATGGGAAGCTGTCATCGCTTTGGCCACCGGATTCTTCCATGTTGATGTTTTGGACAGTTAGCACTTTGTGTTTGTACTTGTCAATATTGTGAAACAAAGCAAGCATTAATTAATTGTTACAGTTGTCAGACTTGCAATACCCATCTCCTTGCAAGGTAGGAAGTTTGTGGTTAATTTGTAATGTATGCTTATGGATGGTTCCTTGTAAAATATTACCAGATATATTTATGTGTCTGATTTTTATATTTGCATTATGAATAGACTGCACTGCATTGCTGACACAAGGCATAGACTGACTAACAAAATTCCACGCACAAATGAGTTCTAATGTCATGAAGTACCAGCTCTGGTGTCTTAAAGTAAATTTTATCATATTGATTTTGACAGTTTTATGCTAACTTTTGGTTTAAGTGAAGATAAATCAATTTGTTCACTTAATATGAGCCTTGCTTAACTCATGGTTTGCATTATGAACTTAAAAAAAACAACACTAAAAATTGGAGCAAAATACATTACCGCATGAAATGTATTTCATTTTTTAATTTCTATATTTTATTCTGTCACCACAGTAGGAAGTAAAGAAATTTCACCCCTACAGTTATGACAATAAACTGAACAAAGTAAAGAAATTTTGCACCCACAATATGATGCTGAAATAACAATATTTCATTTTTTAAAGTTTGCGGTCGCTCAGTGTACATGAATTTTGTGTGTGTGTGTGTGTGCATGCGCGTGTGTGTATATACTTCGTTAATGACAAAGTACCAGACAGGTTTTGCCTCTGTGTGGTCTGGTAGACAGTGCTTCTTTCCACTGCCTGATCAGGCATGGAACTTCCTACACTGACAGCTCATCAGGCTGGCTGTCAGTCTAGAGTTATGATAATGCTGCCACTAAATGACAAGCTGCTGACACTTTCATATGACAGGAATGTGCAATTGTTTATGCAGCAGTATGTAAAAAATAGTGGACACATTGATAGGAAATGAATTCAGCTAAGATTATAAAGTTTCAGAGTACTTCAGCAAGGTAGTACAGTTTAGCCCCAGTGTCAGTGAATTTAAAAAGAATGGGACACAAGTGTGGGCACTGCCAGGATTTTTTCCCCCAAGGAAGGGCAGCCAGAAAATTTGCTTATAGACTTAAGTTCCTTCCATGTAAGATTATCTGTACTGATTTCACTAGAGTATTCCAGATAAGAGAATAATTTTCTTAACAAGTAATTTTGAGATCTGGTATATTTCCTTCGTTTTTCTCCTTTCCCGTTCTTTTTAAAATGGGGGTGGGGGTGCCTCACCCCTCCAAGCATATGGTGATAGAATATTATGCAAGCATGTAAGGAAATGTTTCCTCTTGGTGGTGGTCCCCACTGTTGATGACATTCCACCATTGCTGAAGTATTTAAAGGAGCATGTTATAGCATATATAAAGTAGTTTCCCATTTTAGTTATAAATACCCCAGTTGCTTCACTTCATTATAGCAGAGTATGTGTTTGCAATATCAAGATTTATTACAACATTAAAAAAATTATAATTAATGAAGAAACCTAGAGGGAAGTAATTTTATTAATATATTTGTCAACTCCAGGTGGTTATTAAATATTTCTTTACAGTTGCATTTAATGAGAAGTTATCAATCAGTGAATGCCTCTCCTGTTACTACCCATATCACTGGGAATTTGACTGGGATTGTATTTTTACCGCTGTGTTCAGTCAAGCTGTTTGGCCTGTGGCAGTCTCCTACCCAGAGGGTACTAGAAATAAAGCTGTCTAGTGCCAAGAGTAAGAGACTCCACTCTTCCATAGCCTCATGATGTGGTTCTGTAGCTGTACTGAGTGGACAGCTGCAAATTGTTTTGTGCAGCAGGTAAAAAATATGCTGATTTTCATGTCCACAGAGGTGATACATAAGTCAGATTTATAATATATATATATATTTATTTATTTACATGTGTTTAAATCCTACATTTCATTCAAAGTGTGGGATTGATAAAGGATTAAAGAGAAGGGGAGAACAATAGTTCATTGAAGGTCGCAGTGCACGGGCCCGATAATTGTGGTCCACACCTTATGCATTCATACAGGTGTTTAAATATGTTATGTCCAGTTTTACAAAAATGATGCGCTGCTGTTTGCTCAGATTCTCGTTTATTTTTTTTTATTGCTAAGGGACTAAGTCCCTTGTACTGCGGCCACTTCTGACCAATTGTACCAGCCCCAGATGATAAGTGAGGGTGATTGTGGAGCAATTGGTGGTATGAAGATTGACAGGGGAAACTGAAGTACTTGGAGAAAACCTGCCCCAGTGCCACTTTGTCCACCATAAATCCCACTTGACCAGACCCCGGGATCGAACCCGGTCCGCCGCAGTGGGAAGCCAGTGACTAACCGCTTGAGCTATGGCGTGACCTCGATTATCATTTTAATAATATAAATGTATTTGAACAAAGGTTAATATTTCTGTGGTCCAACATTATCTCCAATAGACCCCTTGAGGCCAGTTCACAGATAGCAAGCACTAAGAATTATTCTTTGAGATTACATGAATTTTACATAGGACACCCAGAAAGTAAAGACAGTTTGGTGATTAAAAAAATAATTAACAAAATTAAAAATAATTACTTTATGTCATTACTGCTCACCTAAAATCAATTTTCTACATAATCCCCATAAAGATTTTGGCACTTGTCGTATCATGTAATGAGTTTTTGTATGTCTGCATCATAGGAGTCTGCCACCAGTCTCTTGTCTTCATCACTGCCCATGTGCATGCCACCCAAAAACTTCAACAAGTGTGTGAACAAGTGAAAATCACCTGGAGTCAGGTCAGGACTGTAGGGAGGATGGAGAAAAGAACTCCAGGCAAAGGCAGCAAGTATGCGGGTGCATTCTATCCTGCAACAGAACCACTCCCGTTAACAGCTGGCCTTGCTGGTGGTTTTGAATGGCATGTTGTAGCCACTTCAGAGTTGCACAATATTATGCACCACTGATGGTGCAAACAGTATGTCTGCAAGAAACAGATGGTTTGGAATGAGACATGTAAAGTCACAGGCAGGACATGTGACAGCAGTGCATACAGCTACAAAGAACTTTACAGGACATGGACATAATCTGTACATAGGGATTTTTTCAGCTGGTACACATACAAGCAAACAGTTCTTGCATATTAGCAAGCTTGTCAAAAATCAGAAGTCAGAATATTCTGATGCATTATGTGCTTTAGCCTTGGCCCTAAAACTGAGCATGAAAGTCCAGCAGACATGTTCTCAGGAAATATGTATCAGCCATCATATACACATACTGACTAATATGAATGATAACTTTTGTGATGAACAAGGAAATATGTTAACAGAATGCCAGTCAGTTACTTGATATAACATAAGACATGGAAGTGGACAAAAAGCTACATTTTCACTGGTTTAGCACAAAAATTCCAAACTTTGTGTTATGCCAAAATTAGATCAGAATTTACAGTTTTTAAGTTCTGTTCAATGTACTGCAAAATAAATTATTAAAATATTTTTGCATTGCAAATTTGGCTGGAATTAAATTTAAAGATTAGGGTGTGGTTAGGCAGGAGATTGCATACTGAGCTGATGACATCAAGGTCTGTGTAACCATGAAGGGCTCAGAAAGTAGTTCCTCTATGAAGAAGTGCAAGTAAAGTTTACAAATAGCATTATGTATATAATGTGGAACTTGAGATTAATGTCTGGTTACACACACACCTTGGTATTTCTTTTGTTGTCAACTTCTTGGACCCACAGGCTGAAGGATTTAGTTGCTTGTTTGAAATGGATTTGGATATGTGTCATAGTACATTCCTGTTTCCAAGAGCTTTATTAACATATATTATGGTTTGCATTATATGTCAAGTTTTGGTTTGCTTCTGTAAGAATGGATCAGACTGGTGGCTGAACCATGGGTGGGAGAGAATATGAAGGAAGAGGACTGTTGCCTGTTTCATGGATAATCTGTTGCATTTTCATGATTTTTCTTTATAATCTAGTGAATAATATTAAAGAAAACTTTTCTTACAAACAAATAGGGGGATAGGTAGAAAGATGTAGAGTAAGAAGAGGTAATGAACTGTTTTTGGATGGTCAGCTGCACAAAGATAGAATTATCAACCTCATTAATACAACCATCACAACACAACAAATATGAAGATCAGTGCCTAGTTTCGGCTATCAACAGCCATCATCAGGCGAATACACGGTTAACATATATACACCACTGAACTGCAGTACTAGTAGAATTGGATACAATACTATTAATTGTATAAAACACTTGATGTAAAAATACAATAAATCAGATTATATGAAACAGATGTTATAGTATAAAACAAGAATAAAATTCTTAGATTGATGTTTTATATCATCGAATCAGTTGTTGGTTTTGTAATTTCATTAATGTTAATTTACTACATATATATCACAAGCTTCCTATACAATGTTATATACAAAAAAATACAGAATATTCCAATTTGTCTGTGGGAACGCAACAAAATTACAAAACCAACGACCGATTCGATGATATAAAACATTAATCTAAGAATTTTATTCTTGTTTTATACTATAACTTCTGTTTTATATAATCTGATTTACTGTATTTTTATGTCAAATGTTTTATTTAATTAATAGTATTGTATCCAATTTTACTAGTACTGCAGTTCAGTGGTGTATATGTGTTAACCGTGTATTTGCCTGATGATGGCTATTGATAGCCGAAACTAGGCACTGATCTTGATATTTGTTGTGTTGTGACAGTTGTAATAAAGAGGCTGTATATTGTAACACAACAGGATGCATGAAATGAAAATTATAGAATTAGCAGATACTAACTCCACCTTCACACAGCCATTCACCCAAAATTTTATTGCATACAGTTGTATGAAACTATAATCATGGAAAGGAAGTAAAGGTTTTAAGGATAAGTGTCAAGTCCTCACTGTTCAGAGTGTCTAATTGCATGGGTATTAAATGCAGAATTTTTTGCCTGGTTTAAATTGATTTTTATTTCAAAATGTGGGTCTTCTGAGTGCAATGTCATAACTTCTGGTGATGAGTCCATGCTGGGTTGCATGTTAGAATGTGACAGTGTTAACAGAGGAAATGGCTGTATTGCTGTTAGTGGAGAATAAAAAATGGCAAAAAGGTGAAAAATGTGTAACTGTATGTTGAAAACTATGCAACATCATGTAACACTGAATGTTGTGGTTCAGTGTAGCACTCGTGCTTCATATTCAGGAGGTCCCAGATTCATGACTGAGGCTTTTCATGGTTTTCCTCAGTCTGTTTAGGCAAATAGGATAGTACCTCAAATTAGACCATGGTTGCTTCCTTCCACATCCTTTCCATGTCATCCTGTGATTCAACATGTCTAAGTTACTGACGTTCTTAAGCAGGCCATAAATAAGTAAATAAATTGTAACCAAATTTGTATATACTGTTACATATGACATCCCCAGCCATGGTGGGTACTATATTGTTCAGAATTTTTTTCTGTAGGAAAGTAAAGGGGTAAATTCCAACACATGTGGCTATGAAATGAATGGATGTGAAATATGACAAGTGAATGCTGGTAACACCTGGTATTTTTGTTGTAACACATCACTGTTATCACTTTTGTGTTTAGAATGAAACAGAGTAGGGATGTACACTTGTTGAAACTAGTCTTTTCAAACGATAAGCTTGCTTCAAGTGATGTATTAAAATCATAGTTATTAATTATTATTCCTATACATTAAATTCTGACAGTTTTTGCTGAAGATCTTGTACATGTCATCTGTGCATTCAACTTTTAATTTCTTGCTTGTGTTATAGATTCAGAACCATGCTATATAATACAGTGCCATACCAGCGTGTTTTAAGCTCAAACATTGTTATGGTTTCAACCATTTTATATAGTATCAGTTCACAAGTAAAATCAAATGATGGGTTAACCTAGAACTGTTTCATGGTGTAGCACTTGGGCTTGTGGCTTGTTCTTTTTCAGATATATGTTGCTGTGTTAGATGCAAATCAAGAATTTATCTGTAAAGTGTAGTGAAATACGATGTGTGTTATAATGAGATTCTAACAGAATGAAAAACTGATGCTGTGATGGATACTGGTTATAGGTAGTTTACACACAGAAAATGTAGAGCTTCAAAAAATCATATGGTGAATAGTTAGAGAAATTTCATTGTAACCAGTGAAAATCTGTGAGATAATGGTTGTTCTGTAGTACCTAAACTACATGTGACCTATGTTTCAAATTTGAAGCCAGTACCCAAAAGAGAATATGTCATGGAGCTTCATAACTGGATATTTTTCCTGAAGATGCTATGAACACAGTGAGAGAGAGAGATATTGCCTGTATAGTGCTAACCATCTAACAAATAATGACAGCTGTGTGATCTAGAACTGAATTAACTACTGTATTTATGACTGAACTTCCAACTTTCTCTAAATGGACGAACGGTTACTTTAAAAGTTTTGTAGTAACAAGAATATAGTCTCATTGCTGTCAGAGTGCAGAATTTACATAAGCACTGATTGTCATGAACAAGTTTACACACATTCCAACAAGAAATAAGATGGTGCTCGTGCTTTGCAAGTAGGAATAAGTTGAGAGTCAGTCTCTGTTTACATATTAACTTTTTGGAGGATATGAAGTATGTTTTATAAGTTACAGAAATGTCCCATGTGTTTACACATTCCTTGAAAGACATCAAAGGAATCATTGGGATTAATGATGTGGGGACTTTTGTTTTTAGCTAAGCTAATGAGCACCTTTCATAGAGATTTTCTTTAAACTAAATCATAGGCTGCTGCTGGCTCCACTTTTGTTTGAACCCAGTAAGACAGCAGTTTATCACGTTATTCCAAGATCACTTACCAAAACTCGGTTCTGCACAAATTCTAACTTTTATCCTGTGAAGACATGTAAATATGGGGTAAGAGAAGTAATTGTATTGGGGGGGGGTGATTCTCAGCATAAAAGTGTAACAATTCCTATACCTGAAAGTGCAATATATCCATTCTTCACCTTTCTACACATCTTTCTCTCAAGTGAACCTGAATGTCTTTGTGATTCAGCTCAAAATAATGAAATGTCATTTCTTAGTCCAGAGGGAAGTGGAACAGCCCAGTCCTACAGGTTGGTGTATAGTACCACCACACCAGGCCATGCATTTCCTAGGCGAAAGAACATTTTGATTGTTTTCTTTGTTATTTCATGTGATGCACTGACAGGACACTCCCATGTGTACTGAGAATGTTGATGAAGATTCTTATTGTCTCTCTATCCATCCATGCTCCTAATGAGTTAGAATGTTGTGGTGCCAGAAGTGCTCATGTGACTCTCAAGGAATATGAATTAGCAGCTAAGCCACATCTGTATATTAATCCAGGAAGCATAGAAAAGCATCTGTTAAAATGAAAATTCTGAAAAAGTACTGAAGTTGAAAGTGATAAATACTGTTATGCATGATGTAGTTAAAACTGTTAGTGTTATGCTCACTAATATGAAATGCTCATTATAGGCTGTACTCATTACATCAGGCCTCCACTGTATGCCAATGGATCCATAATTATTTTCCATGAAATATTGCTTATAAATATACAGCCACAGTACAAGTTTATTTGCAGTATATTTTTTTGTGTGTACTATGACCACAGAAATATGGGATTTGCAAAGAATGTTTGCAATAAACCAAATTAAATAAAACTAAACATAAATTGTGTATGTAAAGAAAATACAGTCGTCCAGTGTTTAATGTTTCTGAAAAGAAAATATATCTATGCGTTGAACTGCCATCTAGAAACAAATGATGTGTTTGTGTGCATGCATGTATAGTGTAAATGTGTCATCTGTTTATTACACAAAACAGAAAATGATAATTGTCTCAGCTGAGTGATTGTTATGTATACAAGCGTGTATGTAGGTGATAAACTTTTAACAACTTTCGTATCAGTTATACTATACATTTATAGTTTTGATTTTCAGATCTAATACTTGTATGATTGGATCTGTCAGTACAGTAACTGGCTACAGGATGGTCAGTTGAGGTTAGATTCCAAGCAGGAATAGAATTTTTTCTGTTTAATCAGTGTATCTAGACCAGTCTTGGGGCCCACCAAGCCTCCCACATACAAGTACCAAGAGTAAAGCTGACCACTCACCTCCGTCCAGTGCTGAGGTTAAAGTGCTTGAAGCTATATCTCCACTCCCATATAAGTTTTCATGATATGGTGCTTAATCAATCACAGCAGCAACTTCACCTGTAATAAAACTGGTAATAGCTACATACTGCTGCATGTCAAAATAAGTATTCATTACCATTCCCTTCATGTGACTGTAAAGTAGGCAAGAAGTTGAGAAATTGCTGTAATGTGTGGAGTAAATAAAATTGTTATGAACCGTGAAATTTAGGGCAAGTGTGGTACAATATTTTAAACGAATTTAGCAGTTTGAACTTCTTTATGACTTTCCTTGGTTATAAGATAAATAAAGTTTGAAATATAAATGTAAGGAATGTGGAAGTTGTGTGACAGAAACTCTGTTTTTAAATTTCTTTTTATCAGTGCCATAAGAGACATGGGTGACTGGACACCTGTGTGATACTCTGGTCTTGAGTTACACATTATCATAATACTTAGTCTAAACTTGAATTTAATCCCTTTGTTACATGAAAAGTAAAAATTACTGTACCCATATACTGAATTTATTTTTCCATATATACATCCTTTTAATACAAAAATTGTTATCTTTGACTTATGACACAAAATAATTTTGTGGGTGTTACCAGTGTTTTGGAGGAAACTACTGCCTCTGTGTTCAAGACAAATGAAGATGGAGTCATGAGGTTCCTCCAAAACTAAGGTCACAATCTTTCCACCACCATGGAAACATTAAATCTCATTTATATGTATTGGTATTGTATCCATGCTTACAAATTGCTTGTCTCCCCCATGCCCCACCTACACAAAAGGAAACTAAGGTTAAGTGCACCTTTTGACATGTTTCTTTGAATTACAGTGATGTTAATATAACTGTCAGTTCAAATGCAGAATGCTAAACTTTCCCAACTCTGTCCCAAGTGAGCATGACATTTCTGGGAGTAATGACATAAGATGTACTGAGAAGTGAGAATGAAGCACATGCAACAAATCTGTCACTCCCACAGAGTGTGTATTCTTTTGTATTCAAGTTGTATTTCTACTGCACACAGAACATAAAATTTCATATTATGAAACTGCACAAATGCATTCTGGAAATTGTCTTCTTTTTTATGAATTTGCAATAATGTATTCATTTTGTTGCCATGATTTACATCTCTGTTTCAGTGTGGATCATGCTTCAAATTAAAGATTGTCCAGCTGTTCTTTATCAGATCTGTCACAAACTCAAGTTTATATACATTATATACTTAGAAATCTTTGATTTGAAGACATGTCCTGTTTTAAAATAAATTGTCACTTACATAGAGGACCAAAATAGGGTGACCAATTAGTTGAAAATTATTAAAAACATACTACTTTCATAAATATAAATGGAACCAGTGATTTTCTTTGCAGCTGCAACTTCCAGTACCTGTTACATGTTTATGAGAATGTTAGAAGCAGTAGAAATCAGTCATCTCTTCAATGTTTTGGGAACTACAGCCTTTTTCTTGATGTGTGTTTGTGGGGTGGGGAAGCTTGGTCTGTGCAAGTGTTTTATTTTCCTGAAAACCACAATTTCAGGACCTCTATGCAAGTGACTTCACATTATTTATAGGCTAATGTAAACTTTATTTCTTTCCCACTGTAATTTAAAAATTCCTATTGTAAATAAATTATAGTGATACTTCACAACTTCCTTCTTGTAATAACACATTCTGTGTAAGATTTTAGAAGCGATCTGATGTGTAAGAATCATAAAAAAATATATATATACATATATATTCAATATGCCACACCAGTGTCTTGTCATTTTATTTTTCATCAGGCCAGTGCAGTCATAATAGTCTGATCTTGTTTATAGATATTTGACAGTATTCCTCTTCATACATTTGACAACACATATACAGAAAAACTAATGTGCACCCATGCCCCAATTGGAATTCAAACCTCTGATCTCAGTGTTTGAGTGATAAAAGGCAGTACACATTTGAGACCCAGCTGCCACAGAGATGAGTAGTATATATATTAATATTTAATATGTAAATAATGCAAACATAAATTATTTATCCTTTTTATAGTATATTCTCTTCAGGTATCAAAGATAGACCCTCCACCCTTTTCTGATTCAGAACAAACTTCAGATACTATGGAACTTTTGTATATTTAGTAGGGCTCCTGTTCAGTGATCATAACATATCTACCTATGCAGAGTAACACAACATAGAAAAAGGTGACCTATTGTTCTTTGAGAGAGAGAGATCTGGACTCTAAATCTAAACAAAGAACAATGAAGGTTTGTGGGAAGAGAGTTTCAAAGAAGTTAATATATTGACTAGTAGAGAATGCGTAACAAATTACTACAGAGAGCTGTATAATGAGAAGCTTCCTTATTTGCACTCTGTGAACTGGAGACATATCGCATGAGTCCTGAATGCAACCAGAAGCTCGTGACAGGATCCCTCTGGCACACTGTCAGCTAGTCATGCTGGTAGCCAAGCCAAACCTGAATGACCCTGAATCCTGAGAGTTGGAAGAGCTTACCATGTACAGAGATATCTTTATTATGAAGAAGGATGACTACTGAGGAACCAACAATGTGCCACCTTATTGACGGGGGGGAAGCCCCATTGGTTAGCTAACCATCGAAGACACTCCCACTAGCAAGGCAGGTGGTGGTGGGGGAGATTTTCAACAAGCAACGATGCAGGATTTTTGAAGAATCAGACAGCCCCTGGTCACCCCTCAACATTCTCTCCCGGGAGAAGAACAGAGACCTGTGCTTCTGTGTGGATTACATAAAACTGAATGATTTAAACAATAAAGACTGCTTCACACTGCCCCAGATTGATGAAACTTTAAACATGTACATTCACTATTGGGCCCAATGGTAATCCTTCGCTGTGAGGAACAGCATACTAGAGCGCCACTGTGAATCCATTGGCAGATGACCAAAAATAGCCCAGACAATTCTCCCTCTCAGCAGAGTGAATGATGTGCTGACTGAACTACATGGTGAACCATCAGGAGGTCACTTAGGTATCAACAGGACCCTAAATAAGATCTGTCAAAGGTACTACTGGCTCCAGGTAAGAAACAGTGTTGAGAAATTGTGACAGCAGTGTGACACCTGTGTAGCTAATGGCGAACCACGAATCGGGCAAAATGCATCAGTAAAATACTGGGACCCAGTTCAAAAGGGTAGTCATGTAGCAGGGCCCTTCCCAAAGAGCTACCAAGAAATCCATATGTCATGATCTTTGTGGACTATTTTACCAATTGGCTGAAAGCCTACACCATTCCCAATCAAAATGAATCAGTGTTAAAGCACTGATTACCAACTACTTATGCTGCTTCGGAGTACTGCAGAAGCTACATAGTGGCCAGGCCCATGACTTCAAGTCTCGTTTGATACCAGGGGTTTTGCAACACCAAGGTCGAGCGCTATGTCAAAACGGTCGAGGAGCTCCTATGAAAGGTTGTTGCATGGGCTCCCGTCTAAGTGCTGTTTTAATTCGTGAGTACAATACCATACTACAGCAGGTACTTTATATTGTTCTAATGTTATTGTTAACATGCTTTTACATGGGAATATGAAGTTAAGACTCTTTCTAAATCCTCTCAAGCTGCCATGGCAATTTACCACTATCACTAACAAAATATTTAGTCAACATATCTCGAAAACGATTGGTAGTTTTATTTACAACAAAACTACTAATGGTAGGCCTCTCTTCTAAACCACAAACAGTCAAGGAATCATCCAAATTGAACCCATCTCGATCACGTACAAAGTTATGTAAAATACAACAGCATTTGACAATGTCAACTGCAAAATCAACGCTTACATCCAGTGGCCTGTGAAGTATTCTCCATTTATTTGACAGAATGCCAAAGGAACACTCCACATAGCGTCTAGCTCGTGATAATCTGTAGTTGAAGACACGTTTCTCTACTGGCAAGTGTGTACCGGAATATGGTCGTAACAGATGTGTAGACAATGGAAATGCTTCATCCCCTACAAAAGCAAATGGTACTGCTTCATTACTTCCAGTCAGCTGTTTAGGTGGAGGAATTCTTAGAAGGCCAAGCTCCACCTGTTTCCAAAGTGAAGAATTCTTGAATATAGTGGAGTCTGAGTCTTTGCTGAAAGAACCCACGTCAACATAAATGAACCTGTAACTTGCATCGGCTATTGCCATTAACCCAATGGAAAAATGTTTGTAATTCATGTCCAACGACCCACTTCGTTCAGGTTTAACTATACGGATATGCTTGCCATCAACTGCCCCAAGACAGTTGGGGAAAGATGCTGTATTTTGAAAACCTTGTGCAATTCTAGCCCATGTGTCCTCATTTGGTGTAGGAAAGCATTCTTCTTTCAGTACACGCCAGATAATTTGACAAACTCTTCGTACGACTTGACTGGCTGTTGATCTACCGACTCGATAGCTGTAATGTAGGTCTGTGAAACTGCATCCACTTGCAAGGTACCTGGAAAGGAAAAAAACTACTAGAGAAAAAAAGAAGTTAGCGCATATCAAAAACTGGACTAATTTAAAAATAAACATATGATATATGGAATTTAATTTTTTTTATATTTCTGCTGTTTTAGTACATGACATGGCATCGAAATGGAGAACAATACGAGATAACTACGTTAGTACCTAATTATTTACTTACCTGATAGTCATAGCCAGCATCTCTTCAGGTTTTATAGCTGCCCTCATGTTACTATCACTCTTCTTTAAATGGTCTTGAACGTGAGACAGAAGTTCATCAAACGTGCTCACTTTCATTCTAAAGTAATTAAAAAACCCTGAAGGATCCTCTCGTAGGGGTGTGTACAGTGTGTAGAAGTAACCATCGCGATGTCTCACAGAGTTTATGGGATGAACCCACCATTTTCTTGTTTTCCTTGCTTTTAAATAGAAATAGACAAGAGAGGCGAATGCTACGCTTTCTTCTGACTCCATTACAGACAAAAAACTACACTCCACATTCTGCTATCGTGTGGTGTCCTCAGCAACGTCCGTTATAAAACACGTGCGTTGCAACGGACGTACTTCGTGCGTTCGTGTGGTCCCAGCCTTAGCTGTAACCTTCGGTGGTGTTACGTCGTCAGCGATTCTATGACTGCAAAACGACAATAGGAAACGGAAGTCAATTGATATTTCATTGCAATTAATTACATTAAAACTTCGATTTATTGCGTCAGATGTACATAATAAATCAAAATAATATTAATTTTTGAAACAATTTTTTGAATACCCTATAAATAATTCTAATATTCTATTTCTTCTGAACATGATGAATTAATGTATGTGGGATAGACCTTCTCGGATAGACCACCGCGACCGGCAGTGGTGTAGTGGTGTAGTTGTACGGCCATATTGTGTTCTTTACCACGTAAGAGTGCAACGTCTGGAATATGAGGTAAATGTAGTTGTTATAATGTAAATTTTGTTTGGTTGTATCATATCGTGTAAGTAGGTGTGTTAGCCTTCTTGTAAGACTGCCATTCTTTTTATGAATCCGATTTATGTATATTTTTTCTAGTTATAGTATCGTTTTCAAATTAGTTGCACCACATGGCGAAGTAACCTTTATGTTTTATTTTGATTAACATTTTATAGCGTGTCTTCGTTGTCGATGGAGGTTAGCAGCTCTGTAATTAGATAAGGAACTCGTTATATAGCATACTCGAATGCTGGTGACTAATTACATGTTTTGGAATTCCTGAGATGCCAGCTAATGCGCAAAGTAGGAATCATTCTCATTCTCTACCCAATGAATGTGGTTACAGAACATTTTTACTTCGAAGAAGTTAATGTATGTTACAATAAAAATTTGAAATCCGTTACTACCACTTACCACTAAAAGTTAGGAATATCAAAGCATAATACACGAAACTGATATTTCCCTGCAAGTTACTGCTGCTTTTGGTAAAACCCCAAAATTATATGTAAAGGCGTATTATATATTGCTCTTTTCATTAAATATTAGTTCTTGCTATGTGACCCTTAGAAGTAGTTCGCACAAGAAAAAGCCCATTTTGGAATAAATTATTCAGTGTAAACAAGTTTAAATACGCCAGTACTTATATGATCTTACATTTTGCGGCGTTTAAGGTCCTTCGGAAGGTCGATAGTAAAAGGAACTTGCTTAACGGTTGCTGTGGATCTTAATGTAATCATAAGTTACGCATTCATAAATTATGAAGTAGGTTTGAAGTCTGAAATTATAAAGTAGAATTGATTTGCCTTTTTATTTATAACTAACTTTTGATCATGTCCAGTAATTGCAGAGAAATGGTATTTTGAAATTTTAAGTTTTCCCTTAATTTTCTCTAATCTAATTCGCAAAAATGGTTAAGATTCTGCTTTAATTAAAACAGGTAATATGTATACTAATTGTAAAATCTTTTAGGGAAATTTTATTTGGTATAAGTGGGGCATGTTATGCAGTAAGAGCTTTGTTACATGTCAGCAACATTGATACACTGAAATCAGTTTATTTTGCCTACTTTCACTCATATAAGGAAGTATGGAATAATATTTTGAGGAACTCATCTGACAGCAAAAAGGTATTTACATTACAAAAGAAAATTGTTAAAATCATGGTGGACATAAAACCCCAAGATTCTTGCAGAGAGCTATTTAAGAGATTACAGATCTTACCTCTTCCATGTGAATATATATTTGCATTATTAAGCTTCATTATAAATAACCAAAATTGTTTTCAGATCAATTCGGATGTACACAGTGTTAACACAAGAAACAAGCACCATCTCCATAGACCGGTTGCTAACCTGACATGTGTTCAGAAAAACGCATATTATTCTGGCATTAAAATTTTCAACAATCTACCATCTGGTCTCAAAAGTCTGATGAATGAAAGGGCACAATTTAAATTAGCACTGAAATTATACTTAAATACACACTCATTCTACTCTGTTGATGCATTCCTGCTGTCTAAACTGACTCATCCTTTTAAAAGGTTATGTACATAGCATAAGTTGACAATATTGACTTATATGTGTGGATGTATTTTTCTTTGTGTCTCAGTTGTACTGTATTTATGGCTTTTGTATTTGTATGACTTGTTCCACATCCTAGTCATTCTGACATACTTTGGATCTATGGAATGCAAGTATGTATGTATGTATGTATGTACAGTCTCTTAGGTCATACCATTATATCCTTGACTTTTGACATGGATTTTTTTTTTCTGACAACACTAATCGTTATCAATACATTCAGTTAAAATCGAGACCTCTATGTTTCCTGTCTTTGCCTAAATACATACTCAACTTGTATGTATATCCCTTAGAAGCACATAGTGTTTAGGTTTTTATTCCAAACTTTGTATTTCTTTAGTGTATAGCGTTTGAAGAGCAGAGTGATTTCATCACCTGCAAAATGTTCAGTTGGACTGTAAGGTTTAGAATACACATCATTTAGTATGTCAAATATAGTTGTCATTTTCTATAATTATTTTTAATTTTAATTGGTTTTATCAGGTTCATTTGTGTTACTGACGTGTAGATATCTCGGTACGGATACTGCACAGGTTATGCAAGACTCAGCTTACGCAAATTGATTTAAAAAAAGACGGTAGTGAGAAAAATATTCATGCATTGTAACTCACCCTAGAATTCAGCTGAGTAAGGAAGCAGCAGAAGGATATATTGCCTTGTCAGTGAAACACTGTTTATCAGGTACACACACCAAGCATTTATATGTGCAAAGTATGTAATGTAAAAAATAAAAATGTATGATTCTCTCAATTGTAAACACTAGTTGCAACACGTATTAATATTTTGAATTTAAAAATGCAACACTTCAACACAGCAGTTAAAGTTGTTGAAAAGGTTAGACTTAGTTTCTTTTATTACACCTGAATTTTTGAAGGTTTTGGTTAGACCAGTGAGATTTTTGTTCCTGTTTTCTGTCCGTTTATTAATTCTGGAATGAATTGAAGTGATAGTCCAACAGAGACAGTTAGAAAGTTGCAGGCAGTTCCTCTGTTTCATTTTAAACACAGTTATGGCAAAAAATTCAGTTTCACAAAGATATGTGGTGGATAAAGAAAGAAAAAATCTCAGTGTTATTTCATGTAAATTTGGATATTCATTTTTCATTCTTATCCAGAACTTTGAATTACTCGTAGAATTAAAAGTACTTTTTTCAGTTCTTTGTCTGATGATAATTCAGTAAGTTGAAGTGTTTCTTCATGGGAAAGGGCTGTCTCTTTGTGTTCAGCAAAAGGATTCACAATCCATATGTCTTGCTTTGAGGGGTCCTCATGTTTGGGCTAATATATTTCAAACATCATCTTCACATGGGCTGCGATAATATCTCAAAACAGAATTCTGTGAACAGAAATCACCTGCTTCTGTAATATAATCTGAGTATGACCGAAACATTTCATTTCATATTAAGCCAGAGTTTTAGTTTATTTTTGAATGATTCAATCTTGTTCCAAGCGTTAAATATTGTTATATCTGGACCATGAAGTTTTAAATTCAACTTGTTCATGTAAGACAATATGTTGCTGAGATATGCTAGCCTGGCTACGCATTCCTTATCCTGGAAATAATGGGACATGTCATGTTTCTTATCAGTTAGAAACAGCTCAACTTCCTTTTGGAGTTCATGTAACATCTTGAGAACTTTACCACAGAGCAGCCAACGAAGTTCCAAATGGAAAAGAAGATTTTGATGATGAGAGCCCACTTCATCGCACAGTGCTTTTAACAGTCTTGTATCTAAAAGCACTTTTTTTATAATTAATAATTTTAACAGATTGAGACATGACTCCATCCCCCCCCCCTCTTTTTGGAGGCCAGGGTTTGCATATGAATGTAGAAGTGTGTTGACATTAAGTTATTGCCTGCCATATCCTTAATTTTAGTAACTAAACCTGATTTCTGCCTGTAAAACAGGCAGCACCATCAGTACAAATTCCAACACAATTTTTCCCTTCAAGACCTCTCTCTTCAATGAAACCATTTGAAATGTTGAAAATTTCTGTTTTATTTTGAAGATATTTTTATATGCTTTTTTTTTGTCTGTTGCCTCATTCCGGATTTTTAATCATGTTTTATGGTGGTACTTTTCTCTGTACATTCTTCAATAAATTAAGGTCAAGGATAAAATGTAAATGTTCCCTAATGTATTGTGTGGCATACGAAATGGAAGCCCAGCTTAATAGTTATCATTTGGAGCAAGAATGACTTGTCTATCATAATTAGGACCAGAGTTGTGATAATTTTAGTAAATCAGAGTGTGAGAAAACTTACGGCTTGAAACTTTGGAAATAACGTAAGAAGTGAAAACTTTGTGTTTATCGCTTATCATTAAACTAGATTTAAAAATTATATTGAAATCCAGAGTGGTTTCATCAGCTAGTGATTTGACATGAAATGACTTTGGAGATTGACCCTTTATCGCATTAATGTGTATTGGTGCTGTACCTGTAATACCGAAATTATTAAAACTGCCATTAGTGTTTCTGATGCAGGATGTTTGTGCGTGTGTGAGAGAGAATTTGGGGTCATTCCTGTTTGAGTTATGTGGGGAATTTTCCTTAGTTATAATATAAATAAATGTACTTGAACAAATAATTTGTGTTATGGAAATTAGAAATTTGTATGTGCCATCTTTCCACAGTTCCCTTAAATTGCAGAAGAGGCTTGCAGCCTCTGTTATGAGATGTGGCAAGAAGAAGGTGTGGCTTGACCCTAATGAAATCAATGAAATTGCAAACACTAATTCAAGTAAGTTAAGTTTGTTTCTTCACCAAATTGGTGTGAATTTTGTTACAGTGCAGCAGTCTGGCTGATTTTATCACCCATCTTTTGCCAATGTTCTGGCCAAGACCTGAAATTTAGACTGATTGTGTTGTAACTGGACATAACATGAACTGGAAACAACAGACAGAGAAGTATTGTTTCTGTTCCTGTATGAACAGTCGTGGAATTAAATTGACTGAGACATGCATCATTCCCAAATATACAGAATAAGCCATAAAAATACTTATCACTTTAGCCATTACATTATTAGTCAGACGCTATCATTCCACATAAAATGATACGCTTGAGCCAGGAGTTCATCATATCTACTGGTTAAAGAATACCCATCATGCCTGTTACCTTTGATGGTTATTCTTCTCTCTTTAGTCCTGTAAGTGGCAACTTTAATTCATCTAGTGGTAATAGAAACACTGTAAAATTGAGGTCCAGATTTTAACATATTGCATCTGAGATTTAAATACCCAGTGCCATCCCACGTTCCCAGTCAGTCTTGTAAACTGCAGTGAAATAATGCATGCAGTAAGAATAATAATTTGTATTGTCACTCACCCTTGATTGATTTTCAAGAAACTTGGAGGGAATGTTTCTGAAGATACCTAATACCTTAGTGAGTTATGGTACTTTTGAAAATAGCTCTCTTTATGCAGTGGCACAACATGATACTTGCTAAACTTCCTAAGCTAAGATGGTGCTTACCTTGCTGGATTGGAGGGGCCTTCTTTCTCTTTGTCACCTAGCAGTGGTTGTTTTGCTGTGAACCAAATCTGTGCCATAGAGAGGAGAGAAACCATATAAGCAGTCTTATTTTTGGAATTTAGAGCACAGTAAATCCCAAATGCAATGCAGTTTGTAAGGTACATGACCACCGCCTTTGACCACCTGACTGTCTCTCAGAATATCCTGTAGTAGGAAAAGTATTGATCTGCCCAATCAACAACCTTTCATATGCGTATTCTACTGTATTGAACATGAGTTTGCAAGACATCTCCAGTTTTCTTTCTTTTTGCGCCTTATCACAGAGCAGGGATAGTGTAATTGGTATAGAGACTGGCTATGGGCTGGACAGCCAAGGGGTTGGAGTTTGAGTCCTGTCAGGGTCAAGAATTTTCTCTTCTCTGTGTCGTTCAGATCGGCTCTGGGGTCCACCCAACCTCCTGTACAACACATAGGGAGGCTCTTTCCCCAGGAGTAAAGCGGCTGGGGCATCAAGGTGACCACTCACCTCCAGCCAGTGCCAAGGTCAAGAAAATGTGGATCTCTGTATCCACTCTCCCTTATGGCTTCATGGTGTAATGCTTAGTGAGGCACAGAGCAGGGATAGTGTAATCGGTATAGAGACTGGCTATGGGTTGGACAGCCAAGGGGTTGGAGTTTGAGTCCTGTCAGGGTCAAGAATTTTCTCTTCTCTGTGTCGTTCAGATCGGCTCTGGGGTCCACCCAACCTCCTGTACAACACATAGGGAGGCTCTTTCCCCAGGAGTAAAGCGGCTGGGGCATCAAGGTGACCACTCACCTCCAGCCAGTGCCAAGGTCAAGAAAATGTGGATCTCTGCATTCACTCTCCCTTATGGCTTCATGGTGTAATGCTTAGTGAGGCACAGGAACAAACTATACCTTTTGTGCCTAATCACTGTTATGGATAGTGGAGGTCATCCTTCTCTTTTGTCTGTCCAGATGAGGAGGAGAATGTAAACTTTCCATAGGAAAGTTATGTCACCTTCATTTTTTCCATTCATCCTTCAGAGAGTTTGGGAGCCCTTAATTAGCTCTTGTAGTCCCGTAGACCCTCATCTTGTTTTGTAAAAAGGAGTTCGAGCATATTGCACTACTGTAATAATTGTCTTGGTATGCGTGATGCCAGAAACCAAGACTTCAACCAAGAACTGATAGAATCGTATCATATATCACTTTCACAAACAATCTGTAAAAAATGCCATACATCACCATTTTAGCAGTGTTGTATGTTCGCAACTGGAGCTTGCCTCATCATGTTTTGCTTTGGTTTCTATATTCTGAGTTTAATTAGCTAATAATTGAGAATAGGTTTAATTTTGAGTAATTTGTATGAATTGTCTTCTGCTTCTGTCTTATCACTGAAGTATTACCACCGTCAGATTTGCTCATATCGACCCTATGCTCAGGAATTTGGCAAAAGTTGGAGTCTGTAGCAGGATGGGAGAACCAGTAATCTATCATGATATGTGTTCTTTGGTCACTTATTCCACGAATAGAATTATTGCCAATATTTTTTTTCCTCTGCATTTGATGTCAGTTATTAACTGCCTCTGTGGTCCAGAGGTCTGGGTTCGATTCCCGGCGGTACCAGATTTTTTTCTGAGAAGTAGTGGGTCTGGAACGGGGTCCACTCAGCCTTGTGATAATAATTGAGGAGCTATTTCAAGGAAATAGCGGCTCCAGTCTAGAAAACCGAAATTAACGGCTGTGGGGATTTGTTGCGCTGACCACGTGACACCCTCTATCCGCAAAAGTTGGCGCTAACTTTTCCAACGAGTGGCAATCGCTCGGTTGGTATAGTTCACTTGGGGACTAAAATCACGGAGTTTGTTTGTTTGTGATGTCAGTTATTTCAGGCTCTTTGCTGAAATTCTGTATTTTGACATCTGATGATAATATTGGTTTATTTATTTACATAACATTACAAAATTATCACAAAAATCGTACTTGTAACTTCCTTGATACCTTTACTATCACTTGGAAAGTCTTCAATGCCTCCATTTCCTTTATATAACTCTGAATGTGGAGAAATGTCAACAGTTGTCCAATCGTCCCTTTAACCTCCAGCCAGATTATTAGTAATACTGGTTTCAACATTGGTAACATATTATTCTGACTAGGATCAGTATCAGCCTTCTATTACATCACAATTGAGTGTTAGTTTGGTCACTGGCGGCCTCCGTAGTCTAGGGGTAACGTTCCCACCTCATGACTCAAGGTACGCGGGTTCAAACCTGGCGGAGGTCGTGGAATTTTTAAGGGTGGAGAAATTCAGGGAACAAGTCCTCTGGGAGGGACTTTAAGCCGTGGGTCCCGTGTTGTAGATTTACGGCACGTAAAAGATCCTCATGTCTCTAGGAGACCTCTGAGCAAAATTAGGCAAAAGTTTCCCGACCAAGTAGTTTCCAATGCCTCCGGTAGATGGGGAAGTATCGGGAACCACTGCCAGCTTTGCTGGCTGAACGGGGCTGAATTATTGCTAGTATGTTCAGACAAGCAGTTGTTACATAATTCTTTCAGAATGTCACTACTACTTGATTTAACGCTAGAATTATTGCTAGTATATTCAGACAAGCAGTTGTTACATAATTCTTTCAGAATGTCACTCCCATGCACAGTGTGATTGGAAACAAGTTACTCATATAAGGTTTGGGTTTTCACGGTGGTGACTCTGAAGAAGGCCGTCTTCTGGGATGTGGCACCTGCTCTGCTGGTTTGCTCACGGATTTCTTCTTGTCTTGTACCCTGAAGATGGAGGTGATACGTTCCTCTGAAATGTTGGTTAACACAGTTTCTACATGGCGCCATATCCCAGAAGACGGCTTTCAAGTTACTCATACTAAGCCATGATGTAAACTGATGGCGACACAACTCACAACTCCAAGTCTTCCACAGACAAAGGGGATTAATGATTGCCATGCCAAACATGAACATTAAATTGAAATAATTTAAAAATCCCATATTTGGACTGAAGACAGATGAAATAATAGGAGGTTGGTGAAAACTGCATAATGAGGAGCTTACTCAGTACCATATATTAGAACGCTAAAGATGTCATGGGCAGGGCATGTAGCATGTATGGGAGAGACGAATGCATATGGGATTTTGGTGAGAACGCCAAATGAAGGAGACCACTAGGAAGACGTAGACATAGGTCAGAGGATAATATTGAAATTGACACCTGAAGATGGCAGTTTGGGGCTGAAACATATAGTATGAAGGTGTGTAATGTTAAACTAAAAAGTGATTGATGATTGGAAGAGTGTTGCAGTATTGAGGGATGATAAATAATTTATGTCAAGTTGAACAATTGCAACAGGATGCTGAAATAGAGAATTGAAGTGGATCTTAGAGATATAGGATGGGGTCATCTGGCTCAGGATAGGAACCACTAGTGGGCTCCTGTGAACACAGTAGTTAACCTTTGGGTTCCATAAATTGTTGGGGATGTCTTGAGTAGTTGAGTGACTGACAGCTTCTCAAGAAAGACTCAGCTCCATAGAGTCAGATGCAAATGACTAGAGCAGTCATTAACCCGTTGGCGTGGTTTGACGTGTATGTTTCGTCAGGCATTTAAATCGTCTGGGGGGGTTCGACGTGTATGTTTCGTCCAGCTGCACACCTATGTTATAACGCCCATAATAATTGATGGTTTTGCTGTAGATTGTTAGATTCTTCGCTGGCCTGTTGTCACAAGAACGGTTTATAATGAGAAACGAGTTTAAGAGCGCCAAGTCATCGTTACATATGCCTGTCTTGCAGCAAAGTTCCTGTGGCTCTTGCGAGCAGTTTATTCGTTCTACGTTTATGAATGCCGTGTTTTCTTTGCTATGAAATTATAAACAGCAGAGACGTGATATGTGCTGTTTTTATAATATCATATTGCCCTGAGCTGGCCACACTAACACACTCAATTGTGTGTCAACCAATCAGGCATTTTACTTTATAAAGCTCATTAATTTATATGATGAAGCAACAAGCATGACAAAAGCTGCGGCAACTGATAGGAATAAATACATTTTCAAGAAACATGAGGCAATAAAAAAACACTGACAAATATTTTTCTTATTTTAGTGCGTATCATCAGCAGATGTTAACGTATGGTACACTATGTACCTTATGAAGTGCTCAGAAAGGAAGAATATATCAAGTATTCTTGACATTCTGCGAATGAACACAGATCTTGTGTATAGGTTGCATCCTTATTTAAGGACAAGCTTTATAGTAAAACCCATATCCTTCATGTGCATAAATATGCTATAGTAAACCTTTGCTAAATATGGACTTCCTTATACATGGTACTTTCGCGTTTTTCCATTTAACCCGTAACGTATTATATTTGTCCAACACAGATTTACCTGGCATTCCTTTTCTGAAGCATGTAACTCTTTTGTTGGATGAGGGTTTATTGTATATTGAGTCATACTGTTTTAGGAAGTATGAAATTGATGGTTCTGTTGCACATTGATTCATTATAATTTATTGTAAAGAAATCATAATGTGTTTTATAGGACAGAACATTCGTAAGCTGATTAAAGATGGTCTTATCATCAAGAAACCTGTTGCCGTGCACTCCAGAGCACGCGTCCGCAAGAACACTGAGGCAAGAAGGAAAGGCCGTCACTGTGGTTTTGGAAAGCGGAAGGGTACAGCAAATGCCCGTATGCCACGGAAGGTTTGTGATATTTAGAGAAATGGAAATTCATATTCGTGTGGTGTAACAGAAAGATATGTAGAATTGGCTGCCATATGGTGATTGTAAAACCGAAACCATGTTGCTTTAGTACTGGAATGTGTGAGTGGCAGACTTGTGTTCTTGTAATGAACGCATTACATGATGAGATATCTAAATTTGTTCCACACTTATGGTGTGTACTTATTTTACTTAGATATCAGCGCAACTGAAGAAAATTTAATTTTCTTGATAGAACCATTCATTGTATTTAAATGTTACCTTTTATATGTAGGGAGTTGTTTTAACACATTCACAGCAGGATGGCAGTTTGCTGCTTCTGTGGTTCTTGTAGGAGCACAGTAACTGATTTTCACATCACACATGTGAATTTTGTAGCTTTTTTCTGAATGAATGTTCATAGCTGGTAGTTCTGTTGTCCTACCCTACATGTGAGAATATAATTTCCTCTGAACACAAACATGTTGTGTGTGAAGTCAAGCACTCTTTCCAATCCTTTAATATGAACACACACAGATGTCATATAGAACACGCTGTGGTGCTTTTGAGGTAAGTGCAATTACACTTCCCTAGCTGTCATATCACTTGCTTATGATACCATTTTATCTGAGGTAGACATTGCCAGTGCTCTTGTAGTCTCACTATTCATATGGTTTTAGTTCTAACAGTTATAATCGTATGTGTAAACTTCTCACAGCTTTAGATCCCTATCACATCCAATCCCCAGGCCCCAGCAGCATCCGTAACCAGATGTTTTCTCATCTTTTACCTACAGACACGCAGTTTCTTCCGTTCATATACAATCATATGGTTTGAGAGGAGTTTGTCCCAACTGCCTGAAGAGAGGCAGTGGTTATCCCAGTTATGAAACCCAGCAGAGATCATACCCTCACAATTAGTTACAGACATATGAGTTGGCTGGTTGTGTTTGTAAAGTTACGGAATGTATTTAGAACTACTGACTTGTCTGGATCCAGGAAAGTAGGAATTGCCTTGCAAATTTTTCTAATGTGCCAACACTGTTGCAGTCTTCTTCAGCTAGGAGTAGTTTTGTCATATCATCTGACAGTGTGGTATCCTAAGGATTCCCCACCAGTGGAATCTTACAGGGATAGCTACAGCATTTTCTTTCAAACTTTCTCCAGGATCATGACATCCATTTCATCTCAGAAATATCTGCATGTTGGACTGCCACGGTGATTGATGTTCAGTGCTACCATGTTTCTAGTTGCCATCTGTGGAATGGTGAACATAATTTTTCATTTGTTTCACTATTAGTGCTTATTGATTTTATCATCTGCTGTGGTTCCTGTGAGCACCATTACAGTATGCCAGCTGCAGGTAGATGTTCAACATCATATCACACTGGCGTTGGAGGCAGATTTTCCTTTCTTGCAGCAAAGATACAGTGAATACACTTCTCATAATTACAGTGCTTACGTCCTCCCTCCAGTCTGTTTCTCAGTGTTATCACTGCAAGTTACTTGGTCTTTTCGGCAGTAATGTGGTGTGGGAATCTTGAGGCGACTCTGCATTAAATGAGAACAGTCATTCAGTGATGTAGAATTGTATATGTGTATTTATTTTAGGTTTATTTTTAAACAAGTAAAAACAGGCTTAGAAGCTACCACACCTCTAAGCCAACACATACATGCAGAGACAGACCAGTGGTTATGTAGAAAGCTGACAGAAAAATGAATTTCAAAATACGTGACCGTTATAGTTGCTAGAAGAGCAAGTTGTCTTGAAAAAGAAGAGGATTATTACAAAGTATGAGGAGTCATGTGATAGTTACATTATTGAGAAATGCCATATCAGCCACTAGCTTTATACCAGTGGTTCTCGACCTTGTTTACTACATTTTGTGAGTAAGTTACGAACCATGACCTCAGCAAAGAGTACGCACTAAAGAAACAAGTTTTTTTAAATTAGGTATTAAATTTTGTCGAGAATCATGAAACTGATTCTAACAAAAAAAGTAAAACTATCCCTGTACCAGGCCATGAAGGCCCATAGGCTTGTGAGACGAGGGTCCCACACTATCTAGACAATCGGCTCGAAGATGGTAAGGTTGTCAGCCTTACGCGCTGGTCGCGCTTTACTCTCCAGAAAAATTTTTCAATTAATTCCTGGTACTTATTTCTGTTAGAGGCTGAGTAAACCCCAGGGCCTAGTGCGGCTGGAAGGATTAGGTCAACTGAAAAAAATCAATGACCTCATTGGGACTTCAACCCGCGACCTTGCAGCTTGTAGCATAGTCCGTCAACCAACTATGCTACCGAACTGATTCTAACACATTAAGACATTTTATCTGTGTTCTGTTGGTTAACAGAAATGTTGGCAGTGTTCATATTATGTTAATGTTTAGCAAAATTTGTAGTACACGCCGTATTCTCCCTTAATACTAATATACTTGTGAATAGTTCTAACAATATTTTCTTTCTACTTCACTTAATTTTGGATAATTTACAGGTGTTGTGGATTAATCGGATGAGAGTTTTGAGGCGGCTTCTAAAGAAATACAGAGAAGCAAAAAAGATTGACCGTCACTTGTACCATCAACTGTACATGAAAGCTAAGGGTAAGTTAATTTGCTATGTCCATATATTTCCCCAAGTCCTTGTACAAGGTGCAACAGTACTTTGTGAATGCCTCAAATATTTGTATGTGAAAATTCTTTATAGGGTTCTAAAATGTGAAATGATTTCGTGTCACAGGAATGTTCTGAGTGAGTTCTAAACTTCAAAATTTACTGCTTTGGAAAGCGTTCACTGTCCATTGGACAGGAAGCTGGGTGGCCCCCAGAGATGTTCTGCTATGAAAAATCTTGAAGCATATGTTAATTGAATTAAATTGTTGTTAAATTATCCTTTTTATTTTGCAGGTGTGCAGTAAATAGTGGTCGCAGACTAATACCTAAGTTACCTTACTTACACACTGACACTTCTGTAGAACAATTTTGTGTAGGGGTTCGGATAATATATACCAGTCTTCTGTCAAATGTTTTTAAAAAAATCAGCTCCAGTCAAATTTTTATAAGTGGTCATTTTTATCTCAGTGTTGAAGGAATTGTTTGTCAGAGTTCATGAACACAAATATGCATGTGTGTGGTCACAACACATTCACCTCTAATCACAGCACTACAACTTTCAGGCTCAATATTTAAGCATACAAGTATGTAAATATGGTAATTCTTACTTATTTTTATGACTTTTTCATCATTTTTAAACAAATTGACTGTTGACTTTGTCATAACCCCATTAGTCATTGTTTTCAATGCTCCTGTTGGGCTTTCTCAGCTTCCTGGGTGGAACTATGCGTTATCCCGACAGGTAGTCCCCTTTCTTGATGTCACCCCCTCCTGCAGCAAGGACACAGGTTTGACTTGGGATCCCCTTAAAGAATTTTTGTCCAACCTGCCTAATACAGAAATTATGCTAAGAGAAAAATAATTTTTGTGATTGATTCATTGATTGAATGTATGTGCATATATATTCACCCCAAAATACTGCTTACCTGTCATACATGGTTAAATTAACATTGTTTTGTCCATTTCTATGCTTCATGTAATCTAAAATCTTAATGTTTGTCTTTGTTCTAGGTAATGTCTTCAAAAACAAGCGTGTGCTTATGGAATTCATTCACAAGAAGAAGGCAGAAAAGGCTAGGACAAAAATGTTGAAGTATGTTTTAGGTTTTGATACAGGACATGGTCTGAATGTAGTAACATTTGTGTCAACACGTTTCATTATGCCTAAATATTAAATTTTTTTTTTTTTTTATAGTGATCAAGCAGAGGCAAGGAGGCAGAAGGTGAAAGAGGCCAGGAAACGACGTGATGAGAGAATAAGTCAGAAGAAGCAGGAGCGTCTTCAGGCTTACCAGCGTGAAGATGAGACAGCTGCTACAAAAAAGTAATTTGACATTGAGCTGCAAACATTATATTTCTTGATAATTTGTGTGTTAATTGCAGTGGAAATAAAAACAAAATTGATAACTTGGTTCTAAGAGTCAGCTTGGAACTTTATTTAATCTTCTCATCTTAGATATAACATATGTCGTCAGCAAAGAGTGAAAGGAATAAGTATTAAAGCTGAAGTGAGTGGGAAGATGCTATATTCAGTGCCTATTTTGTGTAAGGTTTGTTCTCTACCATTGCTGCACATTCATGTGATCCCTGAGATGACCTTTCAGCCATCCAAATGCAGCAGATCTGGTGCTGTGGTGAGCCAAAGATATAGACTGGTATGACATGAATACATCTGTTGAATACATGGGACATTAAAGGATTTTTCTCTGTATGATCAGTAGGCACTATGTGGGTGCAACAAATTGACAAAATTCTGTATTTACTCTCATAATATTTCCCCCCACGCTTTAGAAAAGGAAATTGGGAGGTGAGAGGGGGAATAATGTAGTTTTCTACCTTGTGTAAAACAAAGAAAATTGTTATGCATAAACTGGCCTTCATGAAAAAGTTCAGGGATAAACACTACATCGAGTGGCTGCATGGCCAGATAATTAGCCGTTTATTAATTTCATACCATGAGACTACCACTGCTGCCTACAGACATCATCACTAATTAGGTAATACCCAGGAAGCTGCGCTACACATGTCGAAACCACGCTACATATTAGTGACAGCCATGCGCTGGTGATGAAGCAGTACTAGCTTAATGCTAGCAATGAGTGATTTGGTGAAAGGTGTTGTTACAGCAAGTTGATATGTAAGCGATAACAACAGCTACACTACACACTTTAAATTAACAGTTATTTCATATGCTGAAAAGAATAATAATCAAACTGCAGGGTGAGTTTTGTGTTCCTTGTCACACAAGCAACACTAGATGACATGCAATTAAGAGAGCACAGCACACCCAGTGGGACACAAAACCAGCCACAGTATAAGATAGGAAGAAAGTCATCCTACAACATCAGAATTCAGAAAAATTAATAACAGCATGCCTTAATGAATACTATTTGACCACGTGGACAGTGCAGTAGACTCCTTTAAAAAATGTGTTGCCTGAAGATGGCCCTGTGTGGCTGAAACATGTAGCATAAACATCACATGTACATATATTTTAATAATTTTAGTGACATTTTAAACATTTAGTGAATTAAGTGTGAATTAATGTTGTTAAAGTAATATTGTTGCATCGCAGATGGAAAACAAGAGTATAAGTTATATCTCAATGCCACAGGATGCTGAAATATAATACTGCAATAGCATTTTGAGGCATAAGTCTGGGAAGCTGAAATATGAGAGGAAGTTCTGTCTTTCTTACAGGAAATGACATGTGATGGCTTTTCTGTTCCTCATGACATCTCGCAGCCAAATTCCCTGCAAATTGCAAAGACAGATGGTACCAGTACACAAGATTTTAAAGCAAGCAGAGGTTGGATCCCTTAACCTTTAAACTACTAATGACCCCATATGGTTATATTTTAGCATCCTGTTGCACTGATTTAAGTCCATGATTTATTTAAACCGTCTTGCAGTGCATACA